ACATATGTACATATGTTTACATGTCAGCGATTATAAAAGCTGATTATACTTTGCTTTACATTTGCCCTCCTTTATCAACTTTATTTGTTCAGCTAATGGAAACTGCGTATCAAAAGCGAAATTCCTTTAATTTGTTGTCAAGCCCTCCCTTAACTTTATCACTCAGTGCTATATGAGCCATATGCTGACCTTGAAATGCATATTATGTATGTATATGGGCATTTGCTTACAGCTGTAGGAAAGAAAACACCCGAAACACCACCGGAAGCTGCTCTTGAGCACGCTCATACACAAATACACGCACACAAAAACATATACATAAACATACACATATAGAAACTGTGCGCCTGCGCAAATGCTTTCCATTGCTCTCACTGTCTGCCTCTCGCTCGCTCTCTCGAACAGCCCACACGCTCTGCTTGTAGAGAAAGTTTTGCTGGTGGGAGAGTTTTGCCTGGAATATGCCCAGAAATAGAAGGAATGCGAGTTAGGTAGAAAATAGAATAACACATAAATGAGAAAATGAGCAAAGAGTAAAAATAAATCAAGGACCCGAACTCCGACCCGGATCAAGCAGGCCTTAAGCCTTGGGTACACTTGCTGTGCAAGCAGCAACAGATACACACACACACACACAGACACGCACGCTCGCACTCACACATCGACATTCAAGGGCAGGCAGGCAGGCCACACGAAACTAGATTTTTCCCGAATGTTTTATTTGTTGCTGTTTGCAGTTGCAGTTGCTGCGTTTGTTTGCCTGCCATTGGTTGCAGCTGCAGCGCTGCCATCGGGATTTGAGGATCTTCGCTTGCCTGCTTTGTGGTGCTTGGAAAATTGTTAAGCTGCGCTCTCGACTAGTGCAGTTTCGTTTGTGTTGCCGTGTGGACGCTTTTCCGCGCGCTTGCGCGTGGGCGTCTGCTTTTAGCTAGGCAAAGTGAGCTTCAAGCAAGCTTTGGCTAGCAGTGCAATAGTGCAGAGTGTAAACTTAAAGCTTCTCTTAAAGCTCCGCCCTCATAAAAGCTACAGCAACACAAAGCCAAACGGCACTTGAGCACCTGTTTATTTACAAGTCATTAATCAATTTTCTATTGTATTTTTCAGCTTGCCTTGCGGACAGAATGGATCTAAAAACTTGACGAAAAAAGTTGGAAAATGTTTAAGAAAATTGACACTAATCTATTTTCTCTATCTTTTTAGATATGCGGCAGGTAAAGATAACGTGTTAAAAACAAAATTTTATGGTTACGGTACAAACAAATCATAGCCACCATCATGAACACCAACAGCACCACCAAGCACCACCACCACCACAACATCAACTCAAACAAAAAGAAAAAAAGAAACATTCACAAACATTTTCATTTTCATTTTCATTTGCAAATAAACATGCCGGAATACAGAAAAGAAAACCAGCCATAAATTTTTCATTTTTATTTAATGTGTTTTAAATTATTAATAAATTTTTTAATTATGTGTACTTAGCTTTATATAATTATTTATCAACAAAAAGTTATGTTTTCATATAATTTTCAATTTGATTATATATATTTTTAAATTAATCAATTTGCATGCTTTTTTACATAACTAACCAAAATTTTTATTATTTATAAATTTACATTTAAAATTTTATTTGCTGCATCTAACCCAAGCAATCCAGGCTCTGTTGAAAACTCATCACTTGCTTTTTCATTTGTGTTATCGTGAATACATATACGTGTGTATAAATATATAAATATATATATTTGAAGCTGTTACGTATCGGATTTGTAGCTAAAATTTGAAACTAATCGAATATGTTTTCATCTACAGATCTCAGTCTTAAGGAGAACACGGCACCCGCCTTGGCAGCGGGCGAGATTCAACGGGGACTGCAGCGCAGCATTATCAATGTGAAGCGCGATGAGCAGAAGCTGCAGTTGCCGAGCTCGCGGCGCAAGCGTTTGTCGGTCTCCGAAGTGTCCGACATGCTCTTCGAATTCTACAAGACAAAGTCGGCCAAAGCGCCGAAGCAACAGCAGCCACAGCAGCTGCTGCCACAGGATGCCGTCGAGCTGAGTAAGTACGGTCAGGTGTCGCCGACATCGGCGGAGACGTTGGAGCCATCGAGCATTGCTGCGATCGCTGTGTATGGAGCTGCCTCTGAGACGGCTTCAAAAAACTTGATGGCTGATGAAATGCAACAACTGAGCGCTGCCGCTGGCGCTGGACCATTTCATCCACGCCTTAAATACTCACTGAAGACAGCGGTGCCCGCCGAGCTCAATATGTCCAGCGGCATTACGGCCATACCCACCTCCGTGCTGGTGGCCAATACAGCCGCTGCCGCAGCAGCAGCAGCAGCCACGGCACCTGTTCATAAGCCGCCAGCTGCGGCCATAGCCGAGGCCCTGATGCGCAACGGGCTACACAGCTTCCAGCAGCAGCTGCGGGCGCAGGAGATTCTGCGCCAGCAGACGCCGCAGCATCGCTTGAAAGAGGAGCCGGACAGCAATGGCACTGCCAACGAGGTGACACCCACCAAGATCTTGGAGAATTTGTTGCGTAAGCAGCAGCAGCGCGACTTGCGCCACTCGGAGTGCGAGAACGAACCGGGCTCCTCCACCGAGGATGAGGACGATGGACGCTACGGTGCCTTTGATGATATACAACTGATGGATCAGTCGGCTGGCGGCGTCAATATCGTCGGCGGCAAATTTGGCAACTATGCTCTGAATATGTTCACCTCAAATGCGAATAGCTCAGCGGGCTCGATGAAGGAGGCACAGGCGCAAGCCTTTCGCCAGCTGGAGTTCACGTTGAGCGATTACGGAGGCAGCAGCAGCAATGGCAGCACCACCAGCCCCAATGGCATTGGCCTGGATGGGGAGCCCGTGTACGAGTGCCGTCACTGCGGCAAGAAGTACCGCTGGAAGTCGACGCTGCGTCGCCACGAGAATGTCGAATGCGGTGGCAAGGAGCCGGCTCATCAGTGTCCCTATTGCCCCTACAAGTCGAAGCAGCGCGGTAATCTGGGCGTTCATGTGCGCAAACATCATACGGATTTGCCTCAGCTGCCCAGCAAGCGGCGCTCCAAGTACTCCATGACAATGGAGGGTGGCGGCGGCGGAATGGGCGGTGGAGGTAGTGCGTTAAGCCTCAGTGGCTCCATATCGGACGACTCACAGGGCAAGCTGATCATTGACTGCAATAAGTGATTGCGAATAACAAGCTACGATTCATACCAAATAATAAACAAATACTAATGTGGGCGGGTCAACGACGGGGGCAACAATTGTAACTTCCACTTAAATTGATATTGTACTTTGCATCCTGCGGAACAGGAAAAGCGTGTCTATGTTTTACTTTTAATTTGTCTATGGAATGAACACAAATTTATATCAACTATTTCTTGTCATACTGTGTGTCATCCCCAACAAAAAATTTGAAAAAAAAATTAATTATTTTATGTATAATTGTAATATTATAATTTATGTTTTTGTAAGCAGTGCAAACAATTCTAATCAAGCATATAATCAAAATCACAAATTAAACCAATTTAGTATTAAGTCAATGACATTTTCAAACGTATTATTTACACACAATTCTTTATAGACTAATGAAAATGTATTTCCAGCAAAAAAAAAAAAAGAAAAAACAAATTTAAGAAGAAGAAAAGCAGAGAGTCGACGTTGATATTTTGCAAATTGATATTTTTAGTTGTCTTAAGCAAACATTTAAGTATTTTTGTATGGACTTTTAACTAATCGATTTTTATCTCAATTTTGGACCGCATATGGAAAGACGTTCAAAGTTAAACCCACCTTATCTATAATAATAAAATGCCAAAAATTAAGCGTTTTATTCGACTCGACATAGGAAACAAAATACTTAAGAGAAATACCATATCAAAATCCAAGTTTCCACTATAAAAGAAAATACTATCCATGCCCAAAGATCTCTCTATTTATATATTTGAATTTTGCCTTATCGTATCTATAGAAAACTTCTAAAATTAGTTCTAAATACTCCACAAAAACAAAAACAATGGAAGAGACATCCCATATAGGAGTCCTGTCCAACTTTTATTATGTTGTAATTTAACATATCATATCCAGTATACAAAAATTCAAGGTATATCTATTCCTAACCCTATCTATAAGTATCCGGAAAAGAAAAAATAAGAAAACACGAGACTCATCATATCCAAATCTTGCCCAACACTTCGCTATCATCACAAACCTTGTCCCAAAGATCTTTTTGTTTTGTAACTATTTATTTAGTTTATCCTTAAATTTTGCCCAATCTACGATCTCCTCGATCAATGCCATATTAGGTATTTATATTACCATTTTGACTGATTATTCATTCATATATCTTAGATTATATATTATATATCAAAAAAATTGTCAATTGATTATGGATTCTGCAAATTTATTATTTAAAAAACCAAATTCTTATATATTATAAATTGACTTTTTAAGACTGAAAGCAATTATATTTAGGTTTTTATTTTACAATGACAAAAAAAAAACAAAAAAAAAAAAACAACTGACTTGAAAATTTTAATATGATTCCCAAACCAAAAAAAAAAAAAAAAGAAAGAAGAAACACAAATACTTTTTATACACAAATGTATTTTTATAAAGTTTTAAATATGCATATATATATATTTTAACTGTCATTTTGAGTAGAAATATTAAGATACAAAAGTTTCCAACGAATGGATTGAAATTTCTCCATGAAGACATTTTTAAAGAATTTGTTGGCAGTCAAACTGTCATAAAAAGTGAAGAGAAAATCTGCTAAGACATGTATTATCATTAAACTATATACACATACACATATATATATATATTCTCACACTTTGAATAAAACACGATAATTTTTTGCTTTTACAACTATAAATATATATTTGATTTTAATATGCTGTTTTGTACTTTATAACTGCATTAACAATACTTGATGTGTCAGAGATTACGATGTGATTGGCGAGCGGGGGAAAGTAACAGTAGATTTTAAACCAAATGCACCAAAAGTAAACGGAATAATTTATCTTCGAAAGGCTCTGAGAGTGCGTGTGTGCAAGAGTGGTCATAAGAGCTTTAAATAGTTCAAGTCATCTTTAATAAGAACAGCCAATGGCGACGCTCAGGAAATCCTCAAAGCCAATGGTAATGGTTCCATTTTGCTGGGTATCGCGTTGTCTAAAGGCCTCAGTAAAGCGCTGTATCTGCACGCAGAGTACTATGAACTGGTCCACAGACACCTCTTTATGATTCTGTGGATCACTTTTCTTCACTAGGAAATTTATAAATTCTGGCGTAAAGCGAAAACCCATTTGTGTGAATGCTGTAAAAGAAACATATTAAATAACATAGTATGTTATATATAGGATCTCCAGAAACTCACCTTGCGTCAGTTCGTTTTCTTCAATATGACCGGAGCCATCTTTATCGTAGGTCTTAAACACCTGCAGCCATTGATTTATGTAGTTGTAGAGCTTCTCGAACTCGTAGACGTCGATGGTGCCAGTAGCGTCGTTATCGAACATGCCTACAAGGAAGGCAGCGCATTAAAATTGTGATAAACATTATAAACCGTTAAATAAACAATCCAAAAATGTTTGTCTAGTATGAAGCTCTCTATTCGTCATTCTAAACAAATATACAAGTCTTCAGACTTTGAGGGTCAGCTGGAAAATATTTTACTACCTACACAGAAATGTTTATTTGTATTAAATGCGCAATTAACTAAGTCTATTTTAAATCTACTTTTAGCCGTTACCAATTCAAACACCACCCTGTGTTTAACAAAGAATATTTTCCACTACCCCAGTTATTCAAATAAGAATTCCCATCCCATTTATACATCTTTCACTGACTCATTTCCCTATTTCATATCGCAGGCGAACTTACTTATCATCAATTTGCATGCGTTGTCCGAGAAATTCTGGCCACGCCCATTGATCAAAGCTGCCTTTAATTCTGTGGAATTAATATGACCAGAACGATCCCTGTCCACCATGGCAAACCATTGCTGAGCTTGTGGTGAAACTTGTGCGTTTTGAGGCGGAAAGGCTCCTGGAGGGGCAGCATAGCCACCGCCTTGCTGTCCATAAGGATTGTAACCACCGCCCTTTATGAAAATAGTATATTTGAAGACTTTCCAATTAGAATTACGCGAATATCTCAACTTACGTAGGACATTTTATTTGATGGAATTAGACTTTGATGTTAATTAGTTAGACCAGCAGTACAAAACACGTTAGAGAAAGCACAGCTGTAAATACATGTGCGATATATATACATATGTACGTAATGTAGATATCGATAAATTGTTTGCGACGCAACACTACTATTCGATATATTTGCAAATCGCTTGTTTTCGAGAGGCCGGCATAAACAACGAAAATTTCGCAAAAATGTCGCACTTTGTAAATATGGAAGTTTTCTCAAACTATCAAAAGTATATAGACAACGAACAGGAGTTGCGTGAGGTGGGTAGCAATGCTATATAATTTCATATAGCAATCGTACTGAATTAAATGTATTCCGCAGAATATACGCATCGTGGTGCGGGAAATCGAGCACTTGGCAAAGGAAGCGACAATACAATTGCAAGTTATACACTGTGATTTAAGCAAAAGTAAGTGCTTTTTATTATCAGCATGAAATACTCCTTAATACATGCGTTATTGATTTGCAGTTGATGCTGCCTGCAGTTCAGCGCGCAAACAAATTGAAGCCTGTGCTGAAAAGTATCAGAAACTAGCTGCCTTGGTTCCACCTGGCCAATATTACCGGTAAGAGTTTGATTCATGCAGCCCAGTGTAGGCGTCCCTTGTGCCATTTTTCGCTTATGACTCTGCACACACACACAGCTACTCCGATCATTGGACATACATTACGCAGCGCTTGATTTTTCTTATTGCGCTTGTCATTTACCTGGAGGCAGGTTTTTTGGTTACCCGCGAAACGGCGGCGGAGATGCTTGGTTGTAAGTAAATTGAATACATTATATATTCTACTCGATTATATGTACTATTGTATTTGATTTTAATTTTGCAATTAGTAAAAACCAAACATTCGGATGGCTTCCATTTGGATATTGAGGACTATCTGTTGGGAATTTTGTTGCTTGCTTCGGAACTATCTCGCTTTGCCACAAATTCCGTTACAATGGGTGATTACGAGCGGCCTTTGAATATTTCCCATTTCATTGGAGATCTAAATACGGGCTTTCGTTTGCTCAATATGAAAAATGATGGTTTGCGCAAGCGTTTCGATGCGTTGAAATATGATGTGAAGAAGATCGAAGAGGTTGTCTATGATGTCAGCATACGCGGTCTCTCCAACTCAGCTGAAAGCAAGGAACAGCCTAAAGTGGAGTCTGCCGAATAACTTAAGCATATAAGCGTAGTCTAAGCTTCAATTAAACACAGGACACCATAAAAGACAGTATCATACTAAGTACAACTTTAACTTTAATAGTAAGTTACCAAGTGGTCTTTCATCTTTAAATATTATATCAAATGAAGTCGAGTTCAAAAAATAAAATGATTGCTTGCGTATGGTCACCCTATTCTACCCACCCCATCATACACATTCTCTCACGAGTAGCGATCATATGGTTGCTGTTCCAATTTCAATTATTCCAATCGCTCTTTGTAATGTTTTCTGCTTCGCACCATTTACAGCTCTCAATTGGAGAGTTCCGTTGGCTTCTCAGTCTCTTTCTTGTCGTTGGCTCGGTTGCAACATTGCGCGCGCGTCTTTGCCGTTGCCGACATTTTACTTTTATGTTTGTGTTTGCGTCTTGTGTTTTTTTCGTTCCGCTTTACTTTTAAGCGCAATTGGATTAAGCGCGTATATTTAACCAGCTACTGAAACGAGTTTTTTTTCAATACATACATACATATGTAAGTAAAGGATTATTTATGCTCTAGTGTTTGTATGTACACACATGTATGTATACATAATAAAACGAAAACAAAAGACGTCTCGTCTCACGCAGGCGCCGTGCATTCACCTTTGACTTGGCTGCTAACGTGAAAATTATGTTTTGGCCTAGCAACCCACTCTTAGCTGCATTGCTTAATACCAGCAATAATAACAACAAATACAACAGCTTCAACCTGTTTCTGTAATTTGGGTCACAAGCAAGCCCCTCTTTTCTATTTTCCGCTCATATGCGCAGCCGCTTGGAAACTTGTTGTGAAAAACAGAGTGAGTGAGGAAGAGAGAGAGAGATAGATAGGCGCAAATATAATAACAATTATTACAAAACTTGTTGTTTCTGTTGATATTTGTTTTCTTGTTTATTTGAATTTTATTTGCTGATTTGTACGCCAAACCAGGTTCAAAGTCCAAAAACCGCATATCCGTCTCGCTCTCAGTTGAGTGGGTGAGCGCGAAAGCTCGGCGAGCGACACAGTCTCAAGCAAAGCATTGTAAACATCTGTAAAATGCACACATACACACATAGAAAACAACCGCACATACACACGCAAACTGGAATGCAAGCAGGTGCTGTTGTATGTGTGCGTGTGCAGAGCTCAGTAGGCTGATTGAAAATACAACAACAAGTGGCTAGACCTGTAGTAAATATCATGCACAATACTCAAAACCAATTGTTATTCTATCAAAGTTTAATTAGTTTGTATTTAATTTTTTTTGCACATTTAACATTTAGCAACAATTGTTTTGTATTTATTGTAATTCGTTATTTACGCCTGTTTACGCTTTGGACTCACTCCAGCAACCACTTGTGAATGATATACGAAAGCGTGGCAGATTCGAGCTCGAAATTGGCTTAACGGGTTCACTCCCCTCAGTGTCTGACGCGGTTCTCTCGCTTCGCATTTTAAGTTGTGCTCACAGTTCAAAGTCCAAGCTCAATCGTTTTTTATGTGGCTGTGGCTGTGCTGCGGCATGTGCCAATTATAAGACTTTAACATGTTTACGTTCAGTCAAGGTTGAACTATAAAAATCCCCTATAATTTGCAATATTTCCCTTTATCGTTCAATAACTTGGGGCGCAACTTAAAATAATTTATCATTATCATTGGCTCCCACGAATTTTTGATAAGGCTAAATTCGGCCTGATAACCTGCTTTTGTTGTCTGCGACGAAGTTCTAACTAGACTCCAGTGCGTCACATTGTTGTTGAAGTTGATTTCGTAGGACACCTTTGGCAATATCTTAGAAGTAGGCATATCAAATTGCGTGCCGCCGCTTATCTTCACGTTTATTGCGTTCTAGTTTATGGCACTTGCTAAATTTGCAAGACAACAAAAATTCAATTGAACTTTAGACAGGCTGCTAATGCAATAAAAAAACACACCTAGGGGGAAAGTAATATCTTATCGCTACCTTTTAAAAAACTATTTTTATTGTCAAAAGATCAGATCACAAAAAGGGGCCTATAGCAGAGCCGAACTCTCTTATATAAGCAAACTATTGATAAGCTCAACTATTGATAAACATAGCAAGAAATCCCCTATCTGTGTAGGTTTCTTCAGTTACAGTTCAGAAAAACGAAACCTCAAGGGCGAAAGGCTTATATTTCTCTAGATAATATAAATATGGGTGTGTGTCTATGAAAAAGCAAAACTCTTCAATTGGAAAGCGTTAATTGAATTGTTTACTATTCTGTTAGTATTATAGGATAGTTAGATTAACAATTGACAATGATTGAATACCCTGTCATAGTTAAGTAAATGTTTGCATTTATTTGATTTAGAACTTGACAGTTTCCAAAATATATAGATCTATTTAAGTCGTTTCAGTTTGTATCTAATGGTAGATCAATAACTGAAATATATATAGGGGCATTAGGGAATTCGATATCAATTCATGCAAGGTGATATATCATAGGTAATTATTAAGAAATATAAATCATCCTGTGGCCTATTAGAAAAATATGTACATCTATATTATACCCTAGCCTAGGGTATAGGGTATAACAATACATTTGTATTGATGCTCTACCTGTCTGCCTTGGAAACGTTTTGCTTTCGGAATAATAAATATATGCATATAGATAAATATATGTATATGCATATATTCCACTGCACGTCTATGCTATCGGGCGACAGTTCAAAGTGCAAATATACTAAAAATAAGCTCAACATCATGTATTAGTTGTAGCATTTCAATCAGTTAGTGTGATAAATGTTTTATATTTGTATGTGTCGCAATAATTTCCCGGCTAGCTCGACAAACCCGGCACAAACAAGCCACATTTCAGTTCTCGCGCTATTCCATAAACCCGCAGCAGTCAGTGCTATTTTATATATTTTATTTATAGTTGAACAACACACACACACATACACATACATATAGATATTTACATATAAAAATATGTACGAGTGTATTTAAATGTATTTTGTAGATTCCCAGTTGCAGAAGTAGGCGTGTGTGCTTGCCATGAGATTGAAATGCAAAGGGCATTACAGATCTCTATATATTTCTATATACGCACATAACATGCATATATAGTATATACATATGTATATTGGAGGCATCTGTGTATATACTATGTAAAGTTATTGATAAATTTGTATCGTTTCGCCGGTTTGTTTAAGTGTCTCTCAGACGTTCTCCTGAGCGCTGCGAGCCCCCCTTTTCATACCCTGTGATTAATTCACAAAAGGGTATTAGTTCTTTAAGAATTCACGTTAGAATAGAAGTCCAATAGTACAATAGTATAAAATTGATTGTTTGGACTAGATAATTAATTCATTAAGGGCTCATTATAGAATTTTAAGCACAGGTATTTTGACTTCGACAATATGTTAATTTGTTACAAAATGACTAAGAATATAAAAATGTTTTATTTTGTAATATATTTATATTAAATTAAATAGTTGTAATAATACTTTATGGTATTCGATTATATTTCAGGTGTAATGTTTATACAAAAATATGTTTATACTTATTAAAAATATATGGATGATCATCTCGGTGCTAAGTACAGAGTATCGACAGGCTGCACACTTCCCACGTTCATAAATGTTTTTCTTTTTCTTCGCTGTGACGCAGCAGAGACAAACTCTAGCAATGTCTTATATGCCAGTCTAGCTATATCTGTATCTGTTGCTATAGATGTATATGTATCTGTATCTGTATCTGTAGCTGTAGCTGTAGCTGTAGCTGTGAGTGTATCTGTGAATGCCGGCGACGATTGTTTGCTTTTTCGAGACCCCATGCGCAGCGCTCGCCACGCAGTTGAATCAGTTGACGCTCTGCGCTCAAGCGATCAAGTTGATTTGTTCATCTTCTCCATTTTCGTGACGCTCGAAAAGTATCTGAAAACCGAACACTCAAAAACTATCCACGTAATTCACTCTTGCCATTCAAGAGAAAAGTGTAATTAGTTGATGTAATTGAATTAAACCGTTTGCTAATTTATATTACAAACAACAACAATACACATAAAGGTTTGTTTCTGAATAAATGTTTTTCTTTTTTTCACCTCGACGAATTGAAGGTCACAAAAATGCAAAAAACACAAGAAAAACAAAAGCCCAAATGAATTTCTGCATTTCATTGCATTTTCTCGCGGCTTACGTTGCAGTCTTCGATTTTGTTCTCTGTTTTTATTTTAAGAATGTCTACAATGACGTTGCATACATGTATGTATATATTCTCGCCCTTTCGAGTGTGTGTATGTGTGTTTCAACTGTCTGATAAGAGTCCCCACATGGACACGACACAGAACTCTTATCAGCGCACTTTGAGATTTTTTTTATAGTTTGAGTTTTCTTGATTATATAAAAAAGCGCTTTACAGAGAGTCTACTCAAAATGAAAATAATAATAAATAAAAAAAAGATTGCAAGTAAAGAAATAAAATGGCAAACAGCGCAAGACAAACAAAATTGAAAAAGTGGACTTTGTACCTTCGTGACCAGCGCAAAATAAATTAAACAGTTAAAATTAACAGCGGCAAGACATTTATATATCTGACTTGGCAGTGTGTGTCCCTCGGTTTCATAAACAACAACAAGTTTGCTGAAGTGTATCCATATATTATGTGCTGACATAAATATGCAAAAGCCGGTAGCGATCGCCTAGTAGAAATAATACGCATACGCATACGTAGCAGCACGCAGACGCCTAATCAAAAGTGGGTCATATAAATAATAGTGTGTGAATGTGTATACATATGTGTGTGTGTGTGTGTGAGTGAGTGTGGGATCGTTGTTTTGCTGTTGTGGCTTGTTATTGTTATTGTTCGTGCTGCATGCATTGGCCTTCAGCTGCGGTCCGCTCTTTGTGTTGAGTTCAAGTCAAGGTTTACGCTTAGACAGAAAACAACTTTTTCAGTTTGCCAGTTAATATGCGCAAGCAACTCATAAACTTAATGACTTATCAGATACGCCTGAAGTTGCCTTATAAGTCTCACAATCAAATATTTTTCCATAAGCAATTAGTATGCACACAAACAATGCAAATAAAAAGCACTTGATAAATCAAGTCCTCTTCTAGAACAAAATGTGATTGCGGTTTTTCATTTATTGCTTCAATCAAGTGCCAATGGATGTGCTCAGCAGACTTATAGACAGACATTTAGACAACGAAACAATCAATAGCTAATGATTACGCGCCTGCTCGCTCAATGCGCCACAGACTCTTTTTTTTTTTTTTTTTTTTTTTTTTGTTTTTTTTTTTTTTCTCTGAGGCCGTCTTGTGTGCATGTGGGGGGTTATCGCTAGCTTGGCTGTTCGTGACGTCAATCAACATTTGTTATGACATCGTAATTGCTAGTACTACTGCTGCTGCCCGCAGCCTATAATTAATAAAGAATGAGCGAGGATCGCACAACACTTGCCTGAGCCCTGTGCAGTATCAAAGTGCAGCATTCAGAGGCGAACAACTGCGACGAAGCTGCGTTGCATTTAACTATTTACGTACCCTAGATCGATGAGATTTGCTATGCTACAGTAACAAATCGTAGTAAATATTTTAGAAGCGACTTGAAAAAAGTAAACAAAATCAGATATGTTGTTTAATTTGTGGTCATTGACTTGGTGAAGCGTAGCGATCATGCAATATGCATAAGCCTATCTAAATAGAATCACATAATAGAAATAGTTTCAAAAGAGAATCAAAGCTATTAAATTTGTTCCAGTGGCAACTCAAATAAAGCTTTTATTACTCTTTTAATTTCCTATGCTCACATCTGTATCGTATTTCTCTGCCATTTTCTATTTGTCTTATGTGAGATGCAACTGAAATAAAACTTTTACTAGGCTCTTAATTCCTTATGTCAACATTTATCTTACGTTTTTTTTGTGCCATTTTCTTTGCCTTCCTCTGTCAACCTTTCTCTTGTCTTCAAGGCATTAGAGCAAAATGTAAATATCTTAATAACTTCCCTTGATAATTTTTCTTCTAATCTATTAAAATCTCAGGGATCCATTATCATTTTCTTTACTCATCATTAGAGTAGGATGTAATTATTTTCATTTCATTTCTAGCGCTCTTCTACGTAAATCCCACGCATCTGGTTTCTTAGTCTTTCTTTTATACTCACGTCTTCTTACTTGCCTGCAAATGTGTCTCATCCATTAAATATCCAATTGTTGGAGTTAGATGTGATTGACTTCCCAACTTCCTCTACTCATTTTTATTATTAGCTATTAAAAATCGCCGTTCTATGCAAATCTCAGGCTTAAAAAAGTCATTGGCTCCATAAAACAAAAATGTATTACTCAGCGAATTGTTATTAGCTTCGTCAGTCGCAAACAGTTAATGATCAACTACAGCTCAACGATGTTAGTATATATATCCAGCAATTAAATAAATATAAACTGATTCATATATAAAGAGTGCTGACGATTCAGTAGATTAACCCCATTTATCAGTTTAATTAATTAACTCCGAAAGCAGGCAATAAACTAGCTGCCCAAATCCGTGAGCAGAGTTAATAACTAAATAATAATGTAGTCGATAATGCTGGCGTTTAAAAACAAATAGGTACAATCAATACGTTTTATGATTAACACTCTGCGCTATCTAATCTAATCCATATTTATATATGTATGTATATATCTTGGTGTAATTGCAGCGCCATTCGCTAGAGACCATCAGCAGGTATGGCTGAAGCCCATTCGGCCGTCGCCTTCTCGTTTGCGATCACGCACGAGGGCTTCGACATCAACTATGACCACGAGGTGCTCAATCTCGTCTTTGCCTCGGGCGTGCGCTCCTGGAAGAAGCGCATAGCGCGTGCCAGGGTAAGATTAACTAGAATCAATAAGAAAGTCTACAGAAAATAAATGTAATATATGTATATCTATATAGAATGGCATACGGAACGGTGTTTATCCGGCTCACATACAAAGCCTCTGGCTAATCACGGCCATTGCGCTGGGCCTGCATTTTGCCGGCTATCAGGCGCCCTTCAACCTGACCAACAAAATCCTCGTCTATTTGCCCAGCAACACGATCAACTGGCAGATCACTGCCTGCTTTCTGACCGCGCTTACCGTGTGGCTCTCCATATGCTTTACGATGCGCTACACGCTCAAGCTGCTGCTCATGTACAAGGGCTGGATGTACGAGTCGAGAGCGCCGGGCAGCCGTGTGTCCATACCCACCATGCTCTGGGTGGCTGTGGTGCGTGTGCTCTCCAGTTGGAATAAGCCGGGCCTCTACAGTTTCCAGGGCTCGCTGCCACGCCTACCGCTGCCGTCGGTGCACGATACGATGAAACGTTATTTGCGCTCCGTGCGCCCTCTGCTGGATGATGAGAACTATGAGCGTATGACGGCATTGGCCAACGAGTTCGAGAATACAATTGGTAAGAAACTGCAACGATATCTGCTGCTGAAGAGCTGGACGTCCACGAACTATGTTTCGGATTGGTGGGAGGAATACGTTTACCTGCGCGGTCGCAGTCCATTGTGTGTGAACAGCAATTTCTATGGCACCGATGCCATCTTCATGAATCTCACCAACAATCAGGCGGCTCGTGCTGCCAATGTCATCTCGCTGCTGCTCAACTTCAGGCGTCTGATCGAGCGTCAGGAGCTGCAGCCCATCATGGTGCAGGGCATGATACCGCTCTGCTCGTGGCAATATGAGCGCACATTCAACACGGTACGCGTGCCTGGTCTGGAAACGGATCGCATCGTTCACTACCGCGATTCCAATCACATTGTGGTGCTGCACAAGGGCTGCTACTACAAGATGCTCATCTACTATAAGGGACGCACTCTGCGCCCCTGTGAGCTGCAACTGTAAGTGTAATTGACCTCTATGGCGTATTAGTTAATGCTCACCATAGCTGCAATGGTACATCCACAGTCAAATCCAGGAAATACTCGATTCTAAGGCCACTCCCTTGGAGGGTGAGGAGCATTTGGCTGCTCTGACGGCCTGGAATCGCTCCAAGTGGGCCGAGACACGCAATACATACTTCTCGTACGGAACCAACCACATTGCGCTGCGTACCATTGAATCGGCTGCCTTTGTGCTGTCCCTGGACGATGAACCGTTCGAGTTTGATCTCAAGCGTCCCGAATTGCTGGACTCATTCGGCAAGAAGCTGCTACATGGCAACGGCTACAATCGTTGGTTTGACAAGAGCTTCACCGTCTGCGTGGGCACTAATGGACGCGTCGGCTTCAATGCTGAACATACTTGGTAAGGATTGGGATTGATTAGGATCATCATAAGACTATCACTATCAGTATAGTTTCTAGTTATGTATATGCAGCGCATGCATAAGTCCGTTCCATTGTTTGTCTGTTGGCTTACATTAGAATTAGAGTCTCCAACTTAGTAGAATCTTTAAAGACATACGTCAAAACTGGGCGGATCTGATTACTGTAATATTGTATTTTATTTATTTGTATTTATATTTCTTATTCAGTTTATTTATTACAGCTGCTTGGTTTAAGATATTTAGCGAGTTTTTTAAAAATGAGATATGGCTAATAATGATATATGCCTTTTGGTAGATTCATTTCTAGGACAATAAACTGTTTGGTTATTATTATTTATATTGAAAACAGCCTTGAAATTGATTAACTTCGGCTTGCTGAAGATAAATGTATTTTGTATTTTTTAATTATTATAAATTGATAAATATTGTGTAAAAAGGTCTGACGCTGCGATCGCCTCACACATGTGGGAGAATCTGATCATTGATGATTTGGAAAGCGATGGGTAAATGCACCGACATATATATCTATACTGTATATACAGCATTAGCTGGTGTCGGTTGGCAGTTGTATATATTATATAGATGCAAATATACATATGTATATAAATAGATAAGCATATATAATATATTATATAACCTATTCCTAACTTTAGTCAATTAATTATCATTGATTGCATTTTAACCTTGGTTGTGGCTTAATCAATTGAATTTATGAATTTTTTATAGGGCGGACGCACCGGTTATGGGACATCTATGGGAATATATATTTGGTGATGATATTGAAGGGTAATGCTTAATTAAAACACAAGAAAAGCCTATTAATCCAATTAATAAAATAACTCAAAATGGATTCAAGACATGCCAGACGAGTTGTTTTCTATGATCTATTGAATAACCCTACACTTAGGCTGACTAATTTGTATGAGTTTATTTAACCATGTTTGATATCTAACCAATAACCTAACAAAATGCTTTACTAATACCATTTACATCTATTTATAAACCTTATTAGATATGATGAGACAGGCAATACGAAGGGCATTCCAGAGTTCACACCGCCCACGCCCACGCGTCTGCATTGGGACTTGAAAGCATGCCTGCCACAGATTGAAGAGGCCACCATCTGTGCCACGAAGCTGTGCAATGAGGTCGATCTGCGCATTCTGGTGCACCAGGAGTACGGCAAGGGCTTCATGAAGAAGTGCCGTCTCTCGCCGGATGCCTTCATACAAATGGCCCTGCAGTTGGCCTACTATCGGGATGCGGGACGCTTCTCGCTGACCTATGAGGCGTCCATGACGCGTCTGTTCCGCGAGGGACGCACTGAAACTGTGCGACCTTGCACCATAGAATCAAGCGCGTGGGTCAAGGCCATGGAGAATCCAAGTACAACGGTATTTGCTCAATGCCAAGTTATATATCGCTTATATTATATCTATTTGCATCTCTTACAGAACGATGAGCGCGTGGAGCTGCTAAAGAAAGCGTGCGAGCGCCATCAGCTGGCTTATCAGGATGCCATGTGCGGAAATGGTATTGATCGCCATCTGTTCTGCTTGTATGTTGTCTCAAAATACCTGGAAGTGGATTCACCCTTCCTCAACGAGGTGCTCAGTGAACCCTGGCGCCTGTCCACTAGTCAAACGCCCCATGGCCAGACGCCCAAGATGGATTTGAAGAAGCATCCAAATTGCATCAGCGCCGGCGGTGGCTTTGGACCCGTCGCCGATGATGGCTATGGTGTCTCCTATATCATAGCCGGCGAAAATTTAATATTCTTCCATATCTCAGCAAAGAACACGTGTCCACAAACGGTGTGTATGATTGACTATAATATATTGAAGCAAAAAAAACTAATAATGATTTAATTGCAGGATGTGCACCGGTTCGCAAAGAATATTTGCCAGGCTTTGGCCGACATTCGCAGCATGTTCGAGCAGCACATGAAGGATCATCCGAAGCCAGCCAAGTCCATCACTAATGGCGTCTCTAAATAATGATTAGTCCTATTTGTAGTGAAACTCTTGCGAGATTCTTGTTAGCATTTGTTTTTACTTCTCTAGTTACTTGTTTTACCAATCATCAAGCATATTGTCTATTATAAGTTTTCAATTTAAGCGCAAAAGTGTTCCGAAACAAATTATAAAAAACCCTTTTAAATCAAAATTCACGCGAAATAAGCAATGCAATCATATATATATGTAAACAATTAACTGATCGATTTGTGTGACAACGTGGCTGATTTATAAGTTTTAGTTTTAGCAGCTTTTGCACAATTTGCTGTTTCTCAATTAATTAGTTTGTAAATGAATGAAAAGAACATGATCATTGTAACTTAATGCTAGTTAAAAAATATATATATTTATATATATAAGCCTAGTGGAATCCATTTCCGTATTTATCACGCTGCAAGCGGATTGGCATGGATGGTTACTCCATTGATTTTCTTATCCACATGTGGACGATAGTTTTTTGGATTGACGGGTAGTTTTTCCAGTTCGTCGAGTGCGTCGAAGCCATCGATAACACGTCCAAATAGCGTATACTTTAAATCTAGGTTGGGCTGCGCAGCGTACGTAATGAAAAACTGGCTGGCATTCGCATTGGGTCCATTATTTGCCATTGAGACCATTCCCCTATCCGTGTGCTGCAATACAGAAAGAGCCTATAGCATTTATAGTACATATATTTGGTATATATACCTTTAAAGTTTCCTTAAACTCGTCATCAAATTTGGTACCCCATATGGACTGTCCATTTTTCCCAGTGTTTGTTGGATCGCCGGTTTGCACAATGAAACCCTTGATGTTCCTTATGAAGCAGCAGCCGCTGTAGTAGTCACTCGCACAGAGGGCGAGGAAATTCTCACAGGCTTTGGGGCATGCTTCACAAAAGAGCTCAATCTTAATGTCGCCTACGTCGGTGTGCAGGGTAACAGACTGGAAAATATTAAAATTATCAATAAATTCAAGAAAATGCGGCATTTGTTTACCATTTTAGCAGCTGATTTGTTATTCGACTTCGAAAAACATTAAGTTGGCTGCCATTCCATGCGATATATCGTTTCGATGAAGGCATAGCTCTGCTTCGATTTATTTATCGATTAGTGAGTGGTAACAAACAATGCAACAATGTTTTTGTATTAGTGCACATCGCTGTTTTGGGCGGGAAGAATTCAGCATTCACAGCAATACAATTAAAACTAAGTAAGTTTATTAAATAAATAAGAATGAAGTGCAAAATACCCGAAATCTCTTGGCACAATCGTGATCCCGTGCTAAGTGTAGATATACAGTCAAATAGTCAGGGATTAACTGCACCCACAACATGCCGACTCGCCTCGGGTGGCACCGATGCTCACGTTCTCATTTGGTACGTAAACCAAAGTAAAGAGGACGAAGTCGCGGACGTTGAACTTGAATTGGCAGCGGATTTGGCGAGGCATCAGCGTGCAGTTAACGTGGTGCGCTGGTCACCCAACGGCGAACTTCTCGCATCGGGCGACGATGAAAGCGTTGTATTCATCTGGAAACAGAAAGCAGAGCACGAAGTCGTAAACATTGTGGATGCGGATGGAAATTCTGAACAGGATCGTGAAGTTTGGCTGACCTTGAAAGTGTTGCGTGGCCATCGAGAGGATGTCTATGATCTGAGCTGGGCGCCAAATTCGCAGTTTCTGATCACCGGCTCGGTGGACAACACGGCCATGTTATGGGATGTGCACAAGGGAAAATCCCTGGCCATATTAGACGACCACAAGGGATATGTGCAGGGCGTCGCCTGGGATCCATGCAATCAGTACTTGGCTACGATGAGCACAGATAGGTGAGTGATGGTCTACCATAAAATATATTCAGAAATGTATATATAATTCTTAATTTCTACAGGCACTTGCGGGTTTTCGATGTCAATACGAGACGGGTCTTGCATCGAGTAGGCAAATCTACGCTGCCCGTTAGGGAGGGACATGAGCTGCATGGCCGTAGTATACGCTTGTATCATGATGGCACACTGCAAACGTTTTTCAGACGCCTCTGCTTCACACCCGATGGCAAGCTGTTGTTCACGCCAGCAGGAGTGACGGACTACGATGGAGTGTTGAAGCCGACGCATACAACCTATGGCTACAGCCGCTATGACCTGAGTAAACCGGCCTTTGTGTTGCCCTTTCCCAATGAGTACACCGTGGCTGTGCGTTGCTCACCCGTGTTGTACCGTCTGCGACCTTATAATCCGGAAAAGAACCCGCCGATGATAACGCTGCCATATCGCATGATCTACGCGGTGGCCACTAAGAACTCCGTGTTCTTCTACGATACACAGCAGGCGGTGCCGTTTGCCATTGTCTCCAACATTCATTACACTCGATTGACTGATCTGACCTGGTCAAATGATGGCAATATATTGATTGTATCCAGCACCGATGGATTCTGTTCCTTGCTGACCTTCAGCGAAAACGAACTGGGCGAGCGCTATGAAGATATGGACGCAGTGCTGTGCGCTACGGCCAAATCATCGGAGAATCTTCCACAGCGAAATCGTAAAATCAAAAAGCAAAAGCTACGCAAAGCCTCCACAGATGAATCGTCGAAACGGCGACCGCTCCAGGACAAAACTAAGGCAAATAACATTGAAACGCAGCCGGGCATGGATAAAGTAGACGAGTGCAATGAGAGTGGAGAGACTGACTTGGATGCGGACAATGATTCGTCCCTGCAGAGCAGTAGCTCAGGTAATTTAGCGAGCAGTCCCAAGCCTGTGACCAAGACAGAGGAGAAGCCAACGCCCATTGCCTTTAGGCGTTCGCCTCGCAAGACGACGGAGCCCCAACCAATTGCAATACGTCGAAAACCTAAAGAAGCCACGCCCATAGCAGCTCCCACAGAGATTGCGGTGAAGCGAAAAGCCAGTGATGATGCCGAGCCTTTGCAGAACATTGCCAAGCAGGCAATTGTTGTGCTAGGTAAACCCATTGAGGCAGTGCTCGATAAGGAGATCATCAGCTCGGATGAAAAGTTCGAGTCGCCCGAAAAGAAATCCCGGCCAGCCACACCCATTCAGATACGGAGGCTGCCGCGCACGCCAGGCAGCAGCAGCACCAACACCCTAACGCCTCAACAAGGGTCAGCCAAACATGCCACGCCCATCGCGGTGCGACGTACGCCACGGGTGCTAATTGATGTGCCCGTTGTGAATGCGCCCGTGGTCGTCGAGGAGGCGATGGATGCCTGGCCGATTGCAATGGAGGGTGTAACTCCGTTTCCAAAGGAAAAATCGCCCAGCAAAAAGGCGGAAGCAACTACGCAACTAGCTATCAACGAGGTGACCTCTGAACGGACCGAGGATATACGATTGGTCTACGAGGACACACAAGAGGAGGTAGCAACTCCAGTGAACGACACGCCTGTCAAGGCGGCAGCGATTCCTGCCAAGGAAACAACAACGCCAGTTGCAACGACAGCTAAAACGACAGCTGCTCCGCCTGCTACAACGACTGCCACGCTGGTTGCCTCGCCAAAGCCGAGCACGCCCAACACGAAGACGCCGAGACGAGTATCCTTGCGCACCATTTCGACGCCCAAGTCAAAAAAGAAAATTTTAGAATAGATTTATTTAGCGTACGACAGATATAGACTTAGCCTTAACAGAACTAATTAGTATATGATTATATAACAATTGGGTTTCAGCGACCTTAATAGTTCTTAAATCCAATATTTATATTATACAATATGTAATAAAAACGCACATAAATGAGATAGACAGCTGATGCAGCAGTTTCCTGCCTTCCAGATGAACGATCATACCTATAGACTGGTCCATGCGCAACTGCCGATGATTAGCAGCTCCGAAGATTTGCTGGCTAAACAAATATTTGCAGGAGCTTCGGTGGTCCTGGTTGATGCCGCTAAAGCAAAGTTGGATGACTATGTGAAGCCACTCGGTCAAATGCTGGAGAAGAGCAGTGAGTCCGTTCTTCTGCTCGTGGCTACGCGTCAACGTTTGCAAGAGTTGCGAGGGCAGTTTGAGAGCGAGCTTGGCGGCAGGCAGGAGATCTATGAAGTCGAGCATTTGGTGGATGAAGCACAGCTGCTGTTAACGCGAAATGGTCTGTGGATCATGACTACGGCACAGCTTGCTGAATTGCTGGAACAGTCACAGCAGCTGCTCAAAGGAGTTCACCTCAGGACTGTAGTCTTCGATGGGCTGCACAAATTGCAGGCCTATGGCGGCAGCTGCTTCCAGGCACTCAAGCTTGAATTATGGAAGCTGTGCAGCACGCCACAACTGGTGGTCACCTCCAGCCTGTGGTTAGCTGCTGAGATGAGAGAACTTTTACAGCACGCTAAGCAACCCTCGGTGTTGATCAGGGAGCCGCTGGAGGCAGCTGTCTATGGCGGATTGCAACTGAGAGTGGAGCTGAGCGAGACTCTTACAGAGCAGCTGCAGCAGCTAGTGGAGTACTTGAAGTTGGCATCTCCTAAACAGCAGCGCACGCTAATCTATTGCTCATGTGAAAGCGATTTCCAGGTGCTGCAGCAGCAATTGCCCAAGGATACGTACCTGTTGCATCGCGGTCGCCAGGATATGAACCGTCTGGAGCACTGGCAGCAACAGGTAAAAATTGTATATATATTTTATATTTTCCTATATGCTTATATTATTTATTTTATTCCCTCAGCTAACGGGCAAAATTTTATTGCTGCGCGCCTACTCGCCCGAGTTGCTCGTGGAGAATGTGCAGTCTCTCATACATTTCAACATGCCAGCGACTTGGAGTCAGTTTAGAAGGTCTTTCGCAGTGCTGAAGAATCAAATACCCAATATGCTCCTAGCCACCACAGAGCAACAGCAGCAATTACATTCTCTCATTCTGCTAAACAAGGAAAGTCAACGCATGTTGCCGCAATTGCTCGAATTCATGCAACAACATGGCCAACCCGTGGCCAAAGAGCTGAGCACGGCTCATGCGCAGCTGCAAGCAATACGCGAGGCAACCCTAGTGTCGCGTCAGTGCGTCATTTGTCCGATGTTATTGCTGAATGGACGTTGCCTTAAGCCTACCTGCCAATATCGTCACATGCTGTCAGCTAGAGATAAGAATTGTGGGACTGTACCAAGAGCTGGACTTATACGCTTTCAGCTGCTTAAGGTGAGTTGCCCAAGGATGCGGTATGATGCACAGGGTTGAAATATTGAATATGTGCATTAGGTTAACTGTAATAAGGTCATATCGATATCACATACTGCTTATAAGAGCTTCGAAACCAGCTTTGGTTTATGCTTATCTTCTTTATTATCGATGGCATTTAATGGCAGAATATAATTATTATTATTTTCTTTTTTATATATTTTTTTTGTATTCACAAATCAATATTCTTTTGTTTCTATATACAGATCTTTAATATATTATCCCTTACAGATTTGCACACCAACACACTTTGCGGGTCGTCTGCTGGCACACAGATCCTCTAGAGAGAGTTCCTGGCTCACGCTGCCTACTCAGCCGCAGTATGCAGATTTGCAAGAGAAACTAAACGCTTACTATGACAAGCCAGAGCATTGCGTTGTGCCCACACTGGAAGAGCTTCAACAGATTTGTGTGCGTCGAATGGGAAATAGCTCCTACGAACGTATCTGTGTAACCTTTGTGCCAGCTGTTGCTGCTCCTCCAGTTCGCGGTGATTTGACTGTGCGCATTCGATATTTGGATTCGAGTACGGTCATCTGTCATGCAAAGCTATCAGAGCTACTTGTCTGTCCGCTGGCTTGGCAGCAAATCGAGCCCATGGCTCTGGATGTGCGTCTCATAGGTTGGTTACCCTACAATGGCGAAGAGATTTGGCAGAGCTGTGAGACAGCAGCAATTGCTGATCTACTGCAGCATGGCGGCATCTATGAAGCCAGAGTATACACGAGTTTAGCCCATACACTTTTTGTGGACGAGCTGCAATTGGAGACAGTTTCTTATGCGGAGCAGCTGCACAGGCTAAAGCTGGGCAGATTCGATGTGGAGGCAAAGAAACGTTTGGAAGAGTTGGTAAGCACTACTGATAAATAAATTTA